AAAATCAAATTAAATTTCTTTTTCAAGTTCAATTAGTATAAAATTCAGGAAAAATATTCAGTTAGGCTTCCGCTTTTCCAAATCCGAATTGCCGGGCCTTACGCTTGACCCCTGCCATCAGATTTTGTACAGCCACCTTGTGCACCTTCTTCGCCGCAGAAAGCCAGTTTGCCTTGAACTGCTGCTCGCCCTTAGCAGTTTTTTGGTCTTCTTTAGGTTCCGCTTGACAAGAGCCCAGTATTTCTCAATTGGGCGGAGCTCTGGCGTGTTGGGAGGGTTCTTGTCCTTGGGAACCACCTGCACGTTGTTGGCGGCGTACCACTCCATGGCCTTTTTACCGTAATGGCAAGATGCCAAATCCGGCCAAAACAGTACGGAACAACCGTGTTTCTTCAGGAAAGGCAGCAGACGTTTATTCAAACACTCTTTCGCGTAAATTTCTTGGTTGACAGTCCCGGAAGCTATGAAAATGCTGCTTTTCAAGCCACAGGTACAGATGGCTTGCCAAACCAGATATTTCTTTGCGAACTTTGACAGTTTCATGTGCTTGAAAACATCTGCTACCTTTCCCCTTCCTTTTGCCGTATAAAACTCCTGTCCCGGAAGCTGCTTGTAGTCGGCTTTGACGTAGGTTTCGTCGTCCATTACCACGCAGTCAAACTTCGTCAGCATCGTCGTGTACAGCCTCCGGGATCGCGCTTTGGCCGTCGTATTTTGTTTATCATCGCGATTTGGAGTCACTACCTTCTTGTAAGTCGATAGTCCGGCTCGTTTTTTGGCTCGATGCACGGTTGTAGACGATACACCCAGCTTATTTGCGGCATCTCGGAGAGAGAGGTTAGGGTTTCGCTTGAAACTACCGGCAACTCTCTTTGTCGTCTCAGCGGCTTCCGGTTTTCGATTTCCCCCCGATCCAGACTTCCTGGCTGTCGACAAACGTTCCCCAAACACTTTAATTATATTTGTAACGGTTGATTTGGCAACTTTTAGCGATTTTGCCAACTTTGCGTGCGAGTAGCTCGGATTTTCGCGATGCGCGTTCAAAATTTTGATACGCTGCTCTTCTAGCTTGGACGGCATTTTGACAACTGAAGAGTGAATTCCAAAATCAAAATAGGAACAACATTCTACACACACACACCTTCAAAATGAGGGGTGTTCAGGTTTTTTAAATGCAAAGTTGAAAGAAATACGTCAAGTTGATATTGACCAAATTTTGACCGTATCACCCTTTAGTCACTATATACACTCAAAAATATTACAAAACGAATATAGATTAGATTTTATACATTTTATGGTTTTTCAAAATTTATACATTGGTTCGATTAAAATTTTCGTCAAAATTATACTAAGTCCGAATAACGGAGTGGAATTCGATCAGTGTTTATTAAAATGATAGGAAAAAGAACATCTGGATTCTCTTCGGAGCTTCGTGCTGGTGAAGAGCTTCGTCCCGGCGGATTTCTACTGCGCCTGGGCAGCTAGACTGCGTGAGCACGAGTTCATCCGCATGAACATCGAAATTGTAAGTATTTTGTAAATAATATTGATAAAAAATAAAATAATTAAATAACCTTCCTTAGACAATTTTAATTTTTATTTGAAAACAATAATATTTGCCATAAATAAAATAAAGAAGCGAAAAATACATTCTCTCGAATAAACCGTATCTATGCATTGTAGGTATATTTCGATTTTATACTATGGCACGCATAAACCATTTTTATACTAAGTTTGCATTCTCTCCCTTTATACCGACCTTTGCGTCGGTACGGAGAGTTGCGATTTAGCGTAACTTTTATACTATTTAGATTTCAATATTTTTTGAGTGTACATAGTCTGGCGGAGACAATGACGGGAGTTTCTTTTTAGATCAATGTGGTCGAAGTATTGTGATCGTGACAATAATTAAGTCGACAAAAAATTCAATTCAGGTGGTAATTTATCAATGAGTTTCTGAATGCTATCTTTCCGTTTTTCAAGGAGAACACCGACACGGCTAGTACGTATACGACAAATCACTTTTTGATATGTTTTTTACGGATATGGCAATTTTGCAGATATGCGTTGACAAGTGTAAGTTGATCGATATTCTTTTAATGCATTTCCTCATTTTCTTTAAAAAAATGTATACATTGATAAAAAAAAATATGTTGTGTAAAACGAAAATGTTCTGCAAAAGCTTGAGCATTTTCACGGGGTGCCAGATTATTATTGATGAAATCAAAGTTGTCAGTTTGCAGGATTTTATATCCGCCTGACTATGAATATAGTGACTATAATCAAAACCGGTCGTTTGTATATGATATCAAGAGCAAATTTTCATTACGTCGAAAGTAACAAAGTCGAGCTATGAGTATCAATCGATTCTCCTGCTACACTATATACTGTCCGAATATAGGATCACATCTCATTTATAAATTTATTTACCAGTCAAATTGATTTTTGACGTAATCACCTTCCGATCAAAATAGTTTTCGATGTTACTTAAGTCACCCGATTTCTATGGAGATGCCGTTTGACTTAAGTAACAGCGCTGAGAAACCCGTGAAAAGTGTACGTTCGTCGTTTCGCTTTCTCATTATTAAAGTGAATAAATCGAACTGTTTGTTGCTAAGATGATTTCGGTAGTCCTAAAATGATGAATAGGCTGCACGTAAGGAGACGTAATTGATAATTCTCCCGAATATCCTGGTAAATACACTTTGACTTAAGTAACAATAGGGGCCACCAAACGACGTATAATAACTTTTGACTCTAAAACCAGTATTTTTTAGCATGAAAGCTAGCGATTTGCATTTGTATGATGAAAACCCTGCTAAATATGTTGTACATTGCTATCACTATGAGATTATATGTGTTTAATTGGAAACAGGAATAACTTTTCGGTCATCAAAACAAAACTTTATTTTTCTCGGATTGGTACGAATGTTACTTACGACATAATGAAAATTTGCTCTTGATATATACTGATCTATTGTCCCATGTAGGGTAAGGTGGGGTAATATGCGCCATGGGGTAATATGATCAGCAGTGCTTATTTACTTGTTTTTCAAAACAAATTAAATCCCCAGTAGCACACTTTCATCACAATAAGTTACAGCAACTTGTTTATGACTGAAATAAGTCGTATATAAGTTTCTACAATTGATTTGTGACAAGCGTGCTACTAGAGATAAGTTTTCATCCAGAATCACTGCACACAAAAAAGAAATATAATTATTAAGAGGCTTTTCATTAACTACGTAGACAGTTTTTTGGATTCTTGGTGCGATTACACCACCCCGTGGTGCGTATTGCCCCACCTCACCCTATCCATATCGGGTCGATCTCATCCTAAAAATAGTAGACGAGGAAGAGTACCCTTCTCAACGTCATTCCTTCAAGTGCACCCCACACGACAGAAGCTTCGTCAATATTTCCATCAATATGTTCATGTCAATATTATCAACAATATGTTCGGGGGGTCATCAACACAGAGTCGCTCCTCACTAATGTCGTTTTCGTTTTTGCGGTGTAGCACTGGTGTAGTGTAAGCAGGAATAAGCGCGAGTCTTTGACAGCTCAACATCATTTCAGTGTCAACATTTCAAAGGGGCGTAATTGCTTTTGTAAACATTGGCTTTAACCGTCGATTTCTCGCGAATTAAAGTTCACCCCTCCAAATTAACAATGCTAGCTGGTAGAGGAATCATTCCTCTACTTGTTGGTTTCATTAATTTTCATGTGTGAGCTTTTATTCGCGAGAAATCGACGGCTAAAGCCATTGTTTACAAAAGCAATTACTCCCCTTTGAAATGTTGACACTGATTTATTTGTAAGCAAAGGTGCATCCTACACGGTAAGAAAAAAGTACCCAATGGCCAGTTCACTTTTACCTACTTTTGACTAGTTTGTCTCCTTTTCTCCTTCTAATGTTGTCAAAAACGGAGGAGCAAAACCACCCAACAGGGATAGTAAAGTGTGGGAACCCAACGTTGAGTATAATCATATTTACCTACTGTTGGGTACAACTAACTTACTTTTGGTTAAAAAAGCCAGTGGAAAATTCCATACGAACTGCACACAAGCAAATGAAAATTACTTTGAGCCGCTTTACCTACTTTTGGGTTCCTGCACTATAGTGCCGAGATGAGTGAAAAGAACTTAATTTTGGGTACTTTTTTCTAACCGTGTATATCTACACCTTAAAATATTTTGGTGTACGGTAGTGTAGCACTGGTGTAGCTACACCGCAAAAACGAAAACGACATAACATTATTGTAGCTGCTGGCATATTCCGAGTCAAATCAGAACCATGGTGTACGTTGTCAAAAGATGCCAAAGAACAGGCCCCATCTACTGCTGTAGTCAAACAGAAGGGGAAAAAGAGGGGAAATATTAAAACATGAAATCAAACTTCTTTGATTTTGCGTCAATATGCTCATTAATTTATTCGTCGTCAATATTTGCATCAATATGATTGTCAATACAACTGAGTATCGACAATATTTTTGCCCGTGTGGTGTTTGCTTCACGGCGGCAGCAGCAGTACTAGTAGTAGTAGGGTGGCTCAACTTTACAACCCCAACAATGCGTATTGAGGTCCCCCTTTGAACGAATTTGGATATAATCTCAATTTGCGGGAGAATTTTAAATTTAACATGGGAAAATGTATGAGAAACGGAATGATCCTAATCACACGTAGACATAACTACTTTTACACGAGACGTAATCCATATTGTACGTAAGTCATGGAACGTAAACAAACATTTCATGTAAAATGAAGTGTTCTCAAACCGAAACATAAGCAACTCGACGAAGTTTGAATTAATTTTCTCATAGTATAAAATCGAAATATACCTACAATGCATAGATACGGTTTATTCGAGAGAATGTATTTTTCGCTTCTTTATTTTATTTATGGCAAATATTATTGTTTTCAAATAAAAATTAAAATTGTCTAAGGAAGGTTATTTAATTATTTTATTTTTTATCAATATTATTTACAAAATACTTACAATTTCGATGTTCATGCGGATGAACTCGTGCTCACGCAGTCTAGCTGCCCAGGCGCAGTAGAAATCCGCCGGGACGAAGCTCTTCACCAGCACGAAGCTCCGAAGAGAATCCAGATGTTCTTTTTCCTATCATTTTAATAAACACTGATCGAATTCCACTCCGTTATTCGGACTTAGTATAATTTTGACGAAAATTTTAATCGAACCAATGTATAAATTTTGAAAAACCATTAAATGTATAAAATCTAATCTATATTCGTTTTGTAATATTTTTGAGTGTATAGCACATTGCGCACATTATAAGAGTGACGAAAAGTGTGGAAACGTACTTTTACGCTGAATTGTTTTGATGTCTTCGGCGCACTTATTCGTTGACTCATAACAAAAAAGTGAGCAGAAGACACCAAGACGATACAATGTAAAAACGTAGTCTTATTAGCGAATCCGCACTTTTGAGGAGTCCAATTAGAAATGAAAAATATAATACAAAAATATACTAATCTTTCACTTTAGACCACGTACCAACAAGATCATATGTTAGCTCAATAGCGCCTGTAGGTATCCGTGGAGCTATAGATCTAAATATATAATTATAATAATAACTTTTTTCTCTGAAGTCTAATCGATTTGCAGTCTTCGACAATGTGCTTCTGAATAGTATTTCCATTTTAATATTACATCCAAGTGGATGCACTTCAATCGTGTCGAAAATATGGTGTAATATTACTCGCCAAAAAGGACAAAATTATCATTAATAAAGACTGGACTCGGAAAAAATGAGACACGCAAAAATGATCACCAAAAATTCATTTTAAATCGGATACTTCTCAAATTTTCAGGGATTAAATAACTATATATTAGCTATGTTTTGGCATAATTTATTTATTGAATTTCCTCCCCCAAGCTGAATACTCGTACATTTCTCTTAACACTGCTCATGAGATCTTGGGCGAGGCTTTGCCCATCTTCCTGCATAGCTGACATTACGCTGCTTTTTTTTTAATTTTTGTTGCCATCAAAATTACATGAGATTTTCGATATGATTGAAGCGCATCCTATTAGTTGTAATTTTATTTTTTTTTCTGTGTAGGATCGCTTCGTTTTCCATACAAAAAAATCCCGCAAATCCAGATCATAACCAAATTCGTTCAAATTTGACACCGTTGTATCGGACCTCAATACACATCGGAAGGGCAGTCGGGAACAGGGGGTTTTGATCCACCCTATAAACTAGACCCACCCTAGTGGACACACGTGATCCTTTGTTTTAATTTTGGATATAGCTCTGCGGAAAAATCGAAACTTGATGCGGTTTTCGCACAGGTTCATAACTCATAGGGAAATATCTTATGTAATTTTCTGAATACTATAATTGGAGGCTTTATAGTATTTAGAAAGTTACATGAGTGATATATAAATTATAAAAAGTATGGGCTTCTGGGGCAAAATTCACTCCCAGAGCAAAATGACTTCTGGCATTTAAAATAACGGAAAAAGGGGTTAACATTGATAGTTCTTTAAAGCATATTCTAAATATTTTTTACAGCTGTGAAGTTTTTCAAATTTTATATTTATAAAACAAGTACTGAGGATCCTTAAGGTTAATTTGTTAGTAATGTGTTGAACTAAAATTGAGTAATTAGCACTATTTTTTTAGTTTTGTGACCGAACTTCAGTATTTTGATTTGAGCTTACTTTGATAATGCTCGATCAATGTAGAAAAAATGAATGAAACTCAAACAATTTAATTCTTTAAATATGAAACTTGTAATGAGTATATAATCAGAAAACATCATAAGCAATAAGAATACAATATTGAATTTGTGATGGCAGTAACGGGAATACATTTCATAAGTGATGGTTTGAGTGCTTTTTGGCGACAAACACGAAAATTGTTTTTTAATATGTGTGTAAAATATGTAACACATACTATGTAAAAATTATATACGATATCAACTGAAATACCCCAAGCTACAATATGGAACCAATGTTTCTAATTTGGAAAAAGCACAGCGAGTAAATTTAATCTTTATATTATACTATCAAAGTTACGCGCATTATCAAAGATACCCCGTTTTACGGTACGTTTTTTTTTTTACTGAAGAACGAGTAGGCTGTGCCGGCGTTCGGTCGTGTTTATTTTTGCTGTCAAGATTTTTTCTCGTGATTCCCCGTTCTAAAGTGCTTTTATTGAGGAACAATTCTAGTACATCAACTTTTGGACATATTTCTTCTTGTTTGCATGCTTTTTCCTGTAATTTATACACTGAGAACAATATATGAGACGTTCTTTATTCTTCTTTGTGTAAAAATTTACACAAGGCCATATGACCTTTTGTCCTTCTTTGAATAATTCAAGCTTTTGTCCATTCGACCTATTACCCATTCGAACTTTTGTACCTTATACCTTTGTCAGGCAACGTTATGTTCATTTTTATTCTCTTTCAATTGTTGGACCTTTTGTTCCCTTCTCATCATTTGACCTCTTATCTATTTGACCTTTTGTCTATTAGACCTTTTGTCCATTCAACCTTTTGTCCCTCTTCTCATCATTCGAGATTTTGTCCCTCTTAGATTAATTTAACCTTCTGTCCATTCGACCTTTTTTCCATCCAACCTTTTTTTTTCAATTCGGCCCATCGTTCTATTGTCATTTGATATTTTTTCCCATTCGACCTTTTTATTTTCTCCCTCTTTGAATCAACTTTTGTTTCCCTTCTCATCATTCATCCTTTTGTCCTTTCGACGTTTTTCTATTCGACCTTTTGTCAATTCTGCTTTTTTCCATTCGACCTTTAGGCCATTCGATCTTTTGTCAATTCGACCTTTTTTCCGTTCGACCTTTTTCCCTTAGACCTTTTTCCCTTAGACCTTTTTCCCTTAGACCTTTTTTTCCGTTAGACTTGCTTACAGAATGATGATAAAATAAAAAAAAAATACAACAAATATTTGCTGAGCCTTCATGGCTGAGCGGCCCGCGTCTAGAATTAGCGTCTAGAATTAGCTCCCAAAAGAAGTTTCTATAATAATATTCTTAAGAAGCTTCATATGGAAGTTTCATATAGAAACTTCTTTAAGAAGCTTATTCTAGACGCTCGCCCATCGTTCCGCTTTTCAGACAAAAAAAAAAAAAAAAAATACGGGCAAAACAGTAAACCTGAGTAGCTACGCAGTTATGTAGCAATTTGCCGCTCATTTCATTTATATATACAGCATCAAGCTGCATTTAAATACTATACGATATGAGGCAACCTTTACTCAACCTCTATACAAGCAAATCTGGCGAACTTAGTCAGCTACTTATGGCTGTTGGGACGGTTGGAACAAGCTCTTATTGCATTTCAATCTACGCTTCTAAACAGCTGTTATCCTGCTTTTTAGTTGTGTATGAACTTGAATGGCGCTTATTCAACCTTTTCCCGGTTATCCAATAATAACTACATAGCTTTATCTTGAAGCCGGGTTAAATATTGTTTACGCTTTTTGTTGTTGGGGGAATTTATTGAGTTTATTTTGCTGTGAATCAAATTAATCGAAATTAGTTATAAGCACACCAAGAAAATTATTTACCCTGCACCGGAACCTGGAATCGAACTTGAGACGACCGCATTGGCAAACCTTGACACTACCAACTTAGCTAATCCACCCAAGTAGCACTTGCAACATCTTGCATGAAAAATTTAAAAAAAAATTCCAGTTGTAAATAAGTTTTATATTAATTGCTTTTAAAACATCCTGTTTTAGACGCGTTGTATTGTTGTTTGTGAAGTATTCAAACTTTCTGACAAGCACTTGTTATCTTGAAGCTATAATTCGATATTGCATGTCTCAATTACCAGTTTATAACACATTTATAACTTATTGTATTTGGTGAAAACTGGCTAGCCTTATGTACAACATGTTTTCATTTGTCATTATTAGAAACATGAATACATCTGAGATATAACTTATTGATAACATGTTATTAATAAGTTATATTTCAGTTATACTCATGTTTCCAAAAATGACATATGAAAACATGTTGTATATAAGGCTAGCAAGTTTTCATCAAAAACAATCAGTTATAAAAGTGTTATAAATAGGCAATTGAGAGTTGCCATACCTAATTATAACTTTAATATACAATACAAGTCATGTTCTTGTTTTCCGTGTTATAAACATATTTTGATAACAATTATGAAATTTCTCAATGCCTTCTACAAACTGCACTAGAATATGGCTGACCAATGAAGCAATGTATAGAATGAAAAAAACATTTAATTTGTGCTTTCAACATCACATGTACGTTTTGTAAAAGAGAAAAGAAAGATATTTAAAAAAGAAAGTTGATATTCTATTTGTTTTTGTTTTTTGCAAAGTTGGGGAATTTTATGCAGGATTTTTTATGCAATTCAATTTTTTTTTCCTTTGGTTTGTTTTTTCCGTCGATCTTGTTTTCCGTGCTGAGCACCAATGCTACCGACGTGCCAGGAAGGCAGCTCCCACACCTGGACCCTACCTATCGACCCATCAACTCATGAACCGGGGACCAACGGCTTTACTTCCCATCCGAAGGAAGGCGTGATCAGAGATGTTATGCCTCAGAACATCCCGGCGGCGCTGACTGGGATTGAACCCAGGCCTGCTGGGGTGAGAGGTAATCACGCTTACCACTACACCACCGGCGCCGTTAACAATTCAATTTATTATATTAAGTTTTTTTTTCTAAGATCCAATGAGTTTTTTAGAAGTAGGATGTATAGATTTACCATAAATTTGCAACCGCATAAATGTTTGCAGTACGGAATCTCAGTTTTAGCACTTTATTCGCACGATAAAATTCCTCAGAAGAATAAGTTGTGCAAATTGATGATAAACAAATTCCATTCGTAGGAAGGATGAAATTAATTTACAGTAGGTTGCGTTATAGTCATAAATAAGTTGCGCAAGTCAAGCAGATGTTATATATAGATCCCACCTTTTGCGCTTTTTTCGGTATAAATAAGTTGTATATAAGTGACTAGACGTAAATGTTTACCGCTGATATTGTCATAAATAAGTTATGTAAACCCGTTTATGACAAATTGTGTTGCTTGGGCAACACTTTGAACTGAAGTA